TGGGGGTGCCGGGGGGGAGGGCAGGGGGCGGTTCGGGCCGGGGGCTGCCCCACTCACAGTGCACGTCCACCAGCGTGCTGACGTTGGTGCTGCCGATGTCATTGTGCACCTCGCAGGAGACGGGCTCCGTGAAGAAGGGGTAATCCACCTGCGTGTCGTACTTGTTCTCCTTGGCGTCTTCGATGATCACCCCCCCCTTGGCCCACCTGGGGGGGGGGGGGGGCAGAAAACCCAGGGGGGGGCCTTTAGTTGCTGCGCACCCCCATGGCCCTGTTGGTGTCCCCCCCCCGTCCCCATGTGATGCTGAAGCCAAGCCAGGAGGTTGGGGAGGGACCTGCTGGGGTCCCGTGGGACCCTCACCTGTAGCCTTTGATCTCGGGGTTGGCGGTCGCCATGCAGGTGAACACGACCCTCTCGCCCTCCTGCACCGTCTGGGGCTGGATGGACAGGGTGACAGTCGGGGGATCTGCGGGAGGGCGGACGGAGCCGTCACGGGCGCTGGCACAGGGTCAGTGTGGCAGAGGGAGAGGGGCCAAAGGGAGAATCCCCCTGCCCAGCGCTGCCCAGACTGCCCGCATCGCCCCCCCCCCACGCTGCCACCCAGGGCACGGCCTGCGGTGCGGGAGATCCCAAAAGCTCTGATGCTTGGTGTGGGCACCCAGCATCCCTGCCTGGCATGGGTGCTTGCTGTGGGTGCCCAGCATCCCTGCCCGGTGTGGGCACCCAGCATCCCTGCCTGGCATGGGTGCTGGCCGTGGGTGCCCTGCATCCCTGCCTGGCATGGGTGCTGGCCGTGGGCACCCAGCATCCCTGCCCAGTGTGGGCGCTCACCGTGGGTGTCCCACATCCCTGCCCGGTGTGGGTGCTCGCTGTGGGTGCCCCACATCCCTGCCCGGCGTGGGTGCTGGCGGTGGGTGCCCTGCATCCCTGCCCGGTGTGGGCACCCGGCATCCCCGCCCGGCGTGGGTGCTGGCGGTGGGTGCCGGGCCCCGGCAGGGCAGAGCCTTCCCGCAGCAGCCACTGGAGGTCGGTGTTCACCACGAAGTCCCAGCCTGGCCTCCCGCCTCCAGCCTGGCACCGGCCGGCTGGGACGGGGCGAATCCCCGCCGTGGGCACAGCCCCTCTGCAGGCACACGCCCCAACTCGGGGTTGGGGTCCCCCGGGCACCCCACGATGCCCAGGTACCCCGAGAACTCGTCTCCAGCTCCCTGCCCCAGCTACACCCCTGTGCCACCGTCACGCAGGGATTGTCCCCTCCGTCCCCAGCACTGACTCACGGTGAACGTTGAGCTTGACAAAGGTCTCCTTGCCCGCCGGGATGGCATCGTTGGTGCTGCGGCAGGAGAACACCCGCCCGATGTCGAGGTCGGTTGGGTTGATGGCGAGCTGGCTGGTGGTTGTCTCCCGCTTGCCGTCGGCCAACACCTCCTGCCGGGGACAGGGGACGGTCCCCATCAGCTCCCAGCACCGTGCTGGGGACACCGAGGCACGGCACGGGGCGGAGGGGATGGACGCCGGGTTCTGGCACGTCCCCGTACCGTGCTGGTGATGGCTCCGTCCTGCTGGAGCCCGTCCCGGTACCAGACGATGGTGGCTGCCGGCTTGGCGCTGCGTGCCCGGCAGGTCAGGTTGTACGGCGTCCCAGCGCGCAGCAGGATCTCGGGGGCTCCGTCGATGGTGGGGTCCTCGGGGGGGACTGCAGAGGGGGAGAGGGGACACTGGGTGGGTGCCGGCTGCCCGGTGACGGGGCTCCTTGCCCGCAGCCCCGGGGCACAGGCAGACCCCGCTCCAGGCCACGTGATGCTGAAAAATTGATGCTGCCCTGATAAAGGGAGGGTGATTAAGGGCAGCGGAGGCAGACCTCCTCCCTGCTGCCTGCAACTGCAGGCAGCATTTGACAGTGAAGCATCAACCGGGCCGGCGCCGCCTGGGTATTAAGCCCCTTTTTGATCAGGAGCTAAAGCCCCGTTACTGATTTATTAGGGCTCGGCTCTCAGGGAGAGGTAAAGGCGCCGTTTGGCGTCGGGAAGGAAACCCTGCGCTGGCAGCTGCCGGGGCAGGAGGCTGGCCTGGGGTGTCCCCGACGTGGAGGCTTGGAGAGGGGAGCTCGGGGGACGGGGGACGGGGGGGGGTGTGTGTGTGTGTCATGCTGCGTGGGCAGAGATGGATGCGCTGGAATGGCCTCGGCTGGTTTTGGACAGCCCCGGGGG